TAAAAAACCAAAAATTTTTTGATTAAAATTTTTCATATTAAAATGAAAATTACTTAGAAATATAAAACTTAATGACCCTAAAATTTTATCATAAAATTATTGGGTTTGAAAATTCAAAAATAGTTTCTATAAACTTTATACTTTGAGCTGGGAATCAAATCATAGAAATGTTATTTTTTCTAGGACTCAAAATATCAATTTTAACCAGAATGGAATTAGGGGAATGAGGATGTTTAGGTGAACGTTTCTATTTTTTTTAATAGGGAATCCCTCTAGATAATCGTAGATTATAACATAGTTTAGAACATAAAGATGAACACATATACTTAATCTATTGAGTATTTAAAATTGCATTTTTTTAAATAAGAAAATGTTGTTTTCCATGAAATCTCAGATTATGAATAGAATTTTTTTGTATTAAACTCCTTTAGAAAATCTGACGCGCTCGAATTTTTTTTTTTTTTTTAACCCTTAAATACAACCACCCGCATCATGCAAACGATCAGATTAAATATAATATTAAAAATAAGGATAATGTATCAATATTACTCGAGGATTAGAAATTTTTTTTAATATTTAACTATCTATGCTTCCCCACATAAAGAATTTATATATAAATTTTTTTTTTTATTTTGTATAATAGTCTTAATCGGTAAATCATTTAATGGGCCTATTATATGGTTATTATTTAGGAAGTTTTTGAATTTATTCTATGGTTTAAAATGATGATCCTGCAGTATTTTAGTATAAAATTGCATATTATATAAAATGCTATGTTTAAAAAGTTATATTTACTTATTTATTATTATGTGAAATGCATACTATATCACTCTCAAGGCGTTTCTTGCATGGTATTGCAAAATGATCGAGCGAGATGATGTGTCTCCAACATTTTTATAAGATATAGAAGTAGATATAAAATACAGTAGAAGATAACTCGAGGAATTATGAGTACAACAATTTTATATACTTGAATTCAGAATCTATTTGTATCTCTATTATAAATTTAATCATTAATAATATGTAGGTAAATTTAAAGTTAATCTTAGCGCCAATAATAAGTTCGTCATTAAATTGCCCTAGGACGTTAAAAATGTTAATGTCTATGATGAATGGGTACCAATTATTTACGCATCATTTAAAGCCGTGTTTTTTAAAACATTTTAGGTCCCAGTTTTAGGTGTCAATCAGTAATAATTGCTTCAATGTCCAGTACTTGTAAAAGTGCATTAAAAACATAAAAAATTGCATTAATTGCAATGTAAGGAGTTTACCTCGTTGGAAAATTTATAACTATAAATAAATGGAGCATTATTACATGTTAATATCGGTAAGAATAAATCATATAGGCTTATCAAAGTAGACAGCCTTGATCTGTCCCTACCGTTCTTATAGTGTTGTTTGCCTGAAGGCAACAGAAAGTGTTATAAATAATAATTATTTATAATATTATTTATTTAAATTTTATTTAAGTAGCACAATTATTGTGCTACTTATGTATGTTACAATGTTTCCATACTATCGGTAGACTTTTCTGTTAAAGGTAAGGAATAGAAAATAGAAAAATAAATACCTCCTTTACAACTTATAAGTATTTAGTTTAGATTATATAATGTAATAACTGGCTGCCTGATAAAAAAAAATATTGTTAAAAATCATTTAAAAAGTAGAAAGCAAACTTACGACACTTCAATAAAATTACGTTTTCCGGACCACTATAGAAATCGTATAAATTGTAGGCTTTCATCGATAATTGAGCAAATTTTATAATACAGTGAAGGTGTCTAATGAAAAACCGCTACAGAAAATTAATATGCAGAAAATACTATAGAAAATCGTTAATATAATGTTTATTTAAACTAATATTATAAAGAGAAAAGGTTTGATTGTTTGTTTGTTTGCATTGTTCCAACCTATTGGAGAAATTATTTCATCATTAATATTACACATTACGTGACCCAAGTTCTGAAAACAAATCAAAACCAATATCGTGTACACTGCGGCCATTATTTACAATAGAGATATAATTTCATATGATAAATCATTATTTACAAAAAACGTCAGCGAAAGTATGTTTAACAATCTTCTATGAAATTATAAACAAACAAGCTAGATACCAACAACCTGATCCCAATTTCATAAATTTCGAAACAAAATAAAAATGTGTAATAAATAAATATGTCATAAATCATAATTCAAAAATCAATGTGTGAACAATATGTTTTTACAACTTTAAACCTAACCTTTCTTAATGTATTTTACATAGCCCTAAGCTACAAATAAAATTACAATATCATACATACTCAATCTTTTGTTACTCCATGAACAATGAATGAAAGAATAGCCATCATTCGTAGGAGGTCGTGACTCAAATAGCTCAATACACATACTTTATTTCCATTGATCTCTTTATGAGCTTAAAAATTGCAATATTGATGACCAAGCAATACTTCATGTAGAATAGAGACATGCACATTGATTACTTGATGCAAACTCCTGACATAGCAATACAGTGGGCATCATTACCTTATAGAGCCACAATATCTTCGCATAAATCAGGGCAATGATCAAGCATGACTGACTGTCCAAAAGGACAAAACATTTGACACTAACGAGCCATATTCAGTATATCAATGTACTAGGTTTGTATGAATTGGATATTAGCAAAAATATTTATCAGAATGTAGTAATGAGGTCGATTCATACGGCGAAAGCGTTTGATGATTTGTTACGCTGGGTTATATCAACACATAAGCATGTCTGACATCTTTAAGGGTGATTTTCTTTCAACAGTTTCCTATTTAGTAAACTTATTTCTTTATAGTTTTACAGATATGTACCTATGGTATTTGCAATGTACTGCCCAAAAGGCCTACATATGTGACGAGTTACAGTGGTCAGACGAAATACGATGTTTTAAATGAAAAGTTAGTGAATTTAATGCCGGCAACGCACTTGCGAGCCCTCTGGCTTTGAGAGTGTCCATGGGCGGCGGTATCACTTAACATCGGGTGAGCCTCCTGACCGTTTGCAACTGTTTTATAAAAAAAATATATCGTATCGTTCGCGTTAAAATTATGTTTTTACTCAGCCTACCTTTTTGTAGCTACATACCAACATATGGAACATTTTGCTATGCTACCCTATAGAGACTAGACTAGGTTTTCCATGCAATTTTTACAAATCTTCTCTCCATAAAAAACCTCCCCCAGAGTTAAAAGAATAAATAAAAAAAATATTCGAATTGGTCCAGCCGTCTTCGAGTTTTTCGCTCATCAACATATTTTGCGATTCATTTTTATTTAAATAGATTGTAATTTATTGTTTTCCAAATAATTAATTGAGATAATCGTTGTTTTAAATTATCACATACTATAAAGCTGAACTTTGTATAGCACAGCAAATAAAGACGAAAGTTTTATCTGCGACATACAAGGAACCATGTCAGGGTATAACTTATACTCGTATTGTACATATTATTTTATGATCATCGTAAAAAAAATATATATATAGACATGACATATCCCATATGCTACATAGTTCATTAGTATATATCTCGTCATGATCGTAGAACAACGTCGGATTTGAAAAAAAAACAAAATCCGCTTTTTATCATATTTGGATACTACATTGATTACGTCTAGGTACATAAAAAAATTCCATGTGTTTTAAATATCAAATTAATCAGTCGGTAAAGTGACGGATTTGATACACGCTCATAGAAGCATGTGATTTTTCTAGAAAACTGTGTAATTATTTTTTTATTTTGTTTCAAAACAGACCCCTTTGTGTGCTTATATGCCAATTTTCATAATAACAGAATATGAATTAAAAAAAGTTATGACAAAAAACTAACATGATTATATTATTTTGAAATGGCTGCCCTGTAAAGTTTACTATTTGTCAGATCCGTCACTATTCTACGACTATGGCGATCTATCCATAACCGCTACGAACTGGCAACACTATGAAGTGATGAGGTGATATAGTATACAAAGAGATACGTATTCGAAACAAATGTATGCGGTTTTATTTGTTAGTTAAACAAAAAGTTTTATCCTTCAGTATCTTGCTGTAATTCATACGACCATTGCTTAAGCAGATATTAAGTAGCAAAGGCATTGAATGTATGGTTTTGGTCTAACAATTTACTAGAGCATAAAGTTGCGCGGGCAAACAGGGGCGATGTCATCCGATTACGACAAAGTTTCCTCACTGGGATTAATATCTGTTAAAAACATTTAGGCGTAATGCAAGGTTATATTTTTGTAATCATAAATGCTTAGTTCACGCCAAGTTAATTTTATAGTATACCAAAAAGAATCTTTTTGTTTATACGTATTAACTTCTACAATTGAAACAGAATTATGAATTGTGTAACATTTGAATATATAAAAAAGTAAAAAAGAGTTCATAGAATCTGGCTAATGAAAGAAGATAATTGAATTATTTGAAAACTTTCGGATGGCAACACAGAATGTCATTGAATTTCTTAGGTTAGTATGATTTATTGTCTTGATACTTCATGCAATTACTCATTTTTATTTCTGTTATATATTTTTTCCGAATAGTTAACAGGTATAATAGCCTAAACTTTGATTTATTGATTTTTTGGATTCTGATTTTGATTAATCCGAATAAAGTTGTGTTTTATAATAAATATAGTGTTAGTTTTCCATGCAATGCTAGTCATTTTAAATATCAATAGTAAAAGACTAAATACGTATAGTATTTAATTTCATAGAAATACAGTTACTATCAATGTAAAAAATAATAAAATAAAATCAAGTATCAAGCAAGTAAAATATATCAAACTTTTAGGGATACCATAATTTTTTTTTAATTTGCCGCGCTTTTTCGTTATCTTCTTTCATTAGCCAGACTCTAGATAACAAGAAAATATCACGAAATATATTTTAAAATGTAATTTTACGACATTTTGTAAATTCGATCAATACACAGTTTTTCCAAGACTTATATGAATATTATTTTCTTTACAGGAACACATACAGGAAGTTTTAGACAAATGGACACAAATAGACGACGAAATATGGGCCAAAGTGATAGTTTTCGAAAAGAATCGTCGTGTAGCGAAAGCCTACGCGCGTGCGCCAGTCCTCACTATCAACGGATCTGATGATGGATTTGATGGGATGAGGTAAGACTATAATCTATAACATATTGTGAATTCAAAAGTGTGCTTTTGGTCTCACTAATTTACACTTTGACAACTTTGAATTTTGATTTGAAAGGTATTTTCAAAATTATATAATTACTAGCTGATCCGGCAAACGTCGTTTTGCCTTGTATATAATTTATAATAAAAAATAGGAGTTGATCGTAGAGGGGTGAAAATTAGGGGCTGTATGTATTTTTTAATGTTGTGTCATAAAAAAAATAGAGTGGACTACCCTTAACATTTAGGGGGATGAAAAATAGATGTTGTCCGATTCTCAGAGATACTCAATATGAACACAAAATTTCATGAGAATCGGTCAAGCCGTTTCGGAGGAGTTTAACTACAAACACCGCGACACGAGAATTTTATATATTAGAATAGGCATTTTGGTATACCAAAAGTATCATAATCCTTTTAGAGAACTCTATATATATATAAAACTCGAGAAACTAACAACATATAAAAATATAAAGTATTGATTGTTAAAATCATTTTTAATTAAAATTGTTCGAAAAAATTATAAAAATACTTTTATCGCATTAAAGGTATCAAAACGGTATCAAACATATTTCAACCTACGCCATGATTAATACGCATTGCAAAATGCCTCCACAAGTTTGTCTAGGCTTGGCTGGATCAAGATAGGCACGTGGCTGCCCTAGATTCCCTTCGGTCTGACATTCTAAATTATTATGTTTATAGCATTCTCTTGTAATATTCATATTAAGTGCCGTTAAATTGCATTGTATTAAACACGATATAACCCATTTTTCATCATAATAATACTCAAACAGTGTGATTAGATTTTGACTATTTCTTATTATTTAACTCCTTCAGATCTTCTGGATTACATAATATTGAGATTAGGAACGTAATAAATATATTTTCAGATAACGAAAGAAGATGTAGCTAATGAAACAAACGGGCACTTAATTAATAACTTTATTAAATTTGTTCACATTCATAAAAACTTATTAATTTCTTACCGTAAGTCACGAAGCATTTATGAAAATTTATGAAAATTTATCAGAACTGATAACGCTTGTTCGTTATCTTTATTAATTTCGGCTGTTTAGCATAAATCGAGAAAGAGTGAAATATACTAGTTATATCTGTTCGAAATACTATTATTATTTTAGTATAAAATTGTGTATGGTCGGCCACCGAACCGTTTGTGGTACAATATCATTTACTACTATGGTACTAGTTTAGGTTATGAAAAGTGACGTCGCCTTCACAACCACCGTTAGACTCAAAATTACGACAGAATATAAAAAAAAGTGTTACCAAAATAATCTTTCTCCTTTTTTCTTATTAAAAACGACATTAGTATCTTCTATTTATGGAAAGTTTTAGATTAATTAAGACGTAAGAAATATTGTCCTTTTACCGTTTTTACTTTTGGTTTTTGATTCTATTTAGAGCTGAAACTAATTTTTCCAGATCATATTATTAAATATTCTATTTTGTATAATTTAAGATATGGCATATAAAACTCGTGTCTTGATTAGGACTTGCCCTAAATATGTTGAAGGTCAGCTTAGTGTAGGGCAGTCTTATCAGATGTAAGAGAAAGTGTAATGTCATGTGTAGCAACAATGCGTGCAAATGCCCCGTAACTGATTTGATTATGACCGCTTGCTTAACGAGAGCTTGCGTAAAAATTTGCATGTGAACATTTAAAACTAACGGCTATTAATCGATTTCAAGTTAATTGTTATATCATATTTCTGTTTGATGAAATTACCTTTAATGAAAACAGACTTGAAGTTGGCATATTCTTCGTATACATTTTATCGACGCTTCAATAAACCAGGTATTTTTAAATCTAAATCTAAATCCATAGAGATAAACGAAAAGATGAAAAGTAATTCAATTGTATTAAAGATAAAGATATTTTCTATAAAAGCTCTTAAATAAAGTAAGTAAATCCATTCCTTGATCCATCCACAAAACTTTTATTTTTATTTTCCATTGAGTTCAACTCGGGCGCACGTCGATGTGATCGCGACACGTGGTGTGGCCAGTAATGACACGGAAGCGTTGGAGATTCCACGTTAGATTTATTGCTTGCTAGTAACACCCTGCCATTTTGACCGGCTTAGTTATTCTTAAGATCTAAGAATTAAATTCAGAGCCTTAAACTTAACTATGGCTCCTGCATGTCAAAATCTATGCGTTTTTGACGTACATTATATCCTTACACATTTAGCAGAGGCTTATAATACATAACTGTAACATCTAGTAATATATGTATAACATAACATAATCTTAGCATTTCCTTCAATATCGTAAAGATTCTATAATAATACACAAATTACGTGTATACGCAAAAACTACTTTAAAATTCCTAAAGTAGTTTTGAAAAGCAAAATAACTTCTATATAAAACGAATATACAATATTCTATTTCAGAATTGTTAGATTAAATTATAAATTGCTTATTTTCCCTTATTTAGCTTAGATATTTCAGTATAAAATTTGCATTAAACCCACAATTCAAAAGTAACACGGAAATGTCCCCACTATCAGATGCACACACGAATTTCACCATTTTAATGATACCGCCTTACTCTCGCTAATTAGTCTCGATCTATGTACCGGTGCACAATAAAGATCGAACATTCCCTCTAATAATTGGAATTAAAAGGGCTAGTCCAGCGCTGATAGGAAAACGACTAACTCTCAACATTGTTTTATAGGAAGTCGATTTGCCCACTGTTTCGTGTGATAAATTGCTAATAAGGAATGTTCATATTCTGTTTTGAATTATTTTCCTATATATTAAAATGTTCGCTAGTTAACTGTGGTTATTTATGATTTTTGATAATTATTTCTTAGAAAGTATATGTATGATAGTTTAAATACTTCTGGCTCTACAATTATTAATTACTTATTCATCTTAAATTACTTATGTAAATAATCTAATGTTAATGTAACGAATATATATATATATATATTATGTTTATATATATTTATATAACCATAAAATATATTTACATTTCCATTAATCATAGATAATACACAACACTTATTTTAGAACCACACGTTAATAATAATATCAATGTTATAAAATCATCGACTCAACCCAAAACTTGTACATATTTCGACTCCCAGTCACATAAAGGGTAAAACGACTCGGCAAAGGCGTCATCGTATTAATCTAAATACAATGTTAGCTTAGTGTCATTGTGAAACAATATGAATTGCCTTGCCCACCTGGCAGTTGATCCAATTCGCAGACCAGCCTCACAAATAAAGACTTAAACAACCCACGCGTGATTTCAAATCGGCACGCGTCAAAACAATATACTATTGCACTATGGCGAATCAACAGTTAATATTTATGTTTTGGAATAAACATAATATGTCCAGTTCTACTACTACTTTACTTGACTTCCTCAAATTTTTAGTTTAATAAAATACTTTGCAAAAAAGGTAAAATAATACCTTGAAGAAAATACAGTTACATTTGGAAAAAAACTTATAAAATAGTACAATAATAAAATTCTGTAAACCCAAAAAAAATATATTTTTAATTTGAAATTCTTGTAAATAGATTATTACACATGATTTCACAAATTAAAAAATTATCATCAATCATCTTCTAGTACATTGCTATGACATCGTATAAACCTCATCCACGGCCGCTAGATTTTGCAACAGCAATATCTGAATGTTATTGTTTATTGTCTTCTTATCGATATCTCAGAGCTTTGTTGGTTTGTAGGAAACATAGTGTGCCAGTATGTCGTACAATAGCTGTAGCAACCTTGGTTTTTGTTAAACGTAGCACAGTAGCTAGCAATTTGTATGTGATTGCTCGATTGTTAAATGAATGTACTCTTTTCAAGGGTATCATAAACGTGCTCTGATATTTAAAGTTTCCTTCAATAAATTGCTCTACATAGCTTTGCTCTCTATGGTTTTACCAACATAATTATGTAATTACCTGCCCTTTAACTATACGTTCACGTATAAAACTGTTAGTTATGTATTTTGTAAGAAACGTCGATTATGGTGTTATATTAAAAATGCTGAATTCGTTCCCGTAATTTTTAATTTCAATAGCACATCAAGTCTAAATAATAGAAAACCTAATAAGCTTAATTGCTCTGTAATTTTTTATTTTTAAGCCTTTATTGCTGACACCCAGTACAATGTAATAACAATTATTTAAGTTACATAAAAAAAAACACTTAATTCTAATACATAAATAAAACTTAATCTAATACGTCACTTGACCCGTTTTAGGTAGTCAGCGTGTCCTGTGACACATAGGCCTCTTCCAGCTGTTTCCATTCTTTTCTGATATTAGCTCTTCTTGTCCAAGTTGTGCCTCCTATTATCTTTATATCGTCTGCCCATCTCTTGCTCTGTCTTCCTCTTATCCTTTTTCCATCGCGTAGTTGCCATTCTGTAATTATTTTTGTCCATTTCAACCTGCTATCTCTCGTCATGTGCCCAGTCCAGCGCCATTTCAATTGCCTTATTTTCTTTATAATGTCTTCTACTTTGGTCGCTGATCTGATCCTTCTGCTCTTTTTCGATGTCTCAGTGTTACACCCACCATGCTTCTGTCCATTCCTCTTTGGCATGTTCTGTAATTTAATCCTCATTAGATTTAAAAAAAATACCCTAATCTTGAAATACCCGTGTCTTAATAAGATTAATAATACCAAACAAAGTATCACGTTGTGACATTTATTAACGTTTCAAGTAAATCAAGTTGCAGAAAAAGGATCGATTACAAAATACTTAATATCATAATTTCAATTCAACTCAACTTTGCACTTTAATATCTGGCATTTAGAACTAATTTTCATTGAATGTATATGACATAATTATTTGTTATTGTCCACTTATCTTTGGTTACAGTAAGGAAAGTAGGGCGACATTGAGGTAGGCTTTTGCAAGCGATCCTATTGGGCACCGGTCAGTGTCAACGAATTTGTCTCAGATGTTATGAAATGATTGTAATACT